CTTCATTATAATGGACAACAGATGATGTAATATAATTTTTATATACTGGGTCACTGTTTTGAAACATTTTCTCTTGATTAGTAGGCATATGTAGTTTAGGGGTTTGTTTGTCAAGTTTGGCTATTTCTTCTAAGAAGTCTTCTTTGATGTTAGCTTTGCAATGCATCTCTTTTCATGTGGGCTACTTGTCCACGGACTTGTGTTGCAAAGAAAAAAAAACATCTCTTGGTGTTCATTTATTGTTTCACTTTTATGCGTTATAACATTATAAGTCATGTAATGGAGGTATTCTTGTAGGTCATGCACTATTTTCCTTGACTCTAGTGTCTCTATTCCAAGTTAACTATGGTTGACTTTTGCCCTGATGTTGCCTCAATTTCAGGTCCAAACCTTGGTAGAAGCTTGGGAGTATACATATGCTGATCAGTTCTTGAATTGTCTACCACTACATCATATCCTTCTACTTTTATGTACTTGCTTGCAAATTGTACTGTTTCCATATGCAGTCTCAGCTTACGTTTTGTTGATGTCTTCTGTGTCTTTCTTTTCTGTTAGAAACTTGATTGGAAATTCTAAGCCGCACACTGAAATTTATCCTTGTTGGTTTATGGCTTTGATGATTGATTGAAACATGTTATCCTTAACCTATAACATACATGTTCATGGGCTTTTCAATGCCGTACTTGCCCCCCTCTATGCAGGTTCCACGGTAATATACTCTCCTCTTTCTGTTTTCCTTGGTTGCCTTGACAACTGACGGCTTTCACCATTGTTTTTCCCTGAAACGGCTTTGTTTGGCTGCATGAGTCTTGCTCAGCTACCTATTGTAATTTAATTTCTTCTGTTTATGTTGTTGAAGGTTGAGTTTATGCCAAAATTTAGCGTGAGGGGTATTTGGCAGAGATGGCGTGAATCATATCCAATAAATGGAACTAAGGCAGCTGATAGCATAACTGTGTTTACAGGAGTAAGTCTACTTTGTATGTGAAGGATGTTTTTGCTAATATGAAAATCTATTGCAAGTCATAACATATTATAATTGCACTAGAATACAAATTCTTGGGAAAGCGCCATATTCTAAAAAGCAAGTATCTCCTGCTTGTTAGTTGATTTATTGGTTTTATAATCTTCAATACGTGAATTGAAGGTTAAACATGCTATGCATCTACTGCATCTCTCATTGTACTGATTTTAGGTGCGAAATAATTATCTTAATTTAGTTAGACTGCAAATTAAGTGGCTTGTATTTGTGTAGGTTCCGACCATGTATACTCGATTGATACAAGCTCATGAAGCAATGGATCCAGAGCTAAAAGCTGCCTCTGCCTATGCTGCAAGACAGTTGCGTCTTATGGTAAGTAGCCTGAAAGCTTTTTCTTTCCCAATAATGGTTTTGTATCTATATTGTGAACAGGAAGTAAGATGCTTTTGTTTGATTATTGGATCTTTATCGGAAATACATGTAAAAATCTACTCTTCAAATACTGTCTGAAAATTAATTGTAAGGAACTAATATGGGGAATGATAATTGTGAGAGTATTTGTATCTACACAAGTTTGTAGGCTCTCTTTCCATTACCACAGCATCCCTGGTGGTAATGGAACTTTCTCCGTTCTTCTAGTTTACATGAAAGGTAAGGCAACAAAAAAGGACACCATGAATGTGGGACTTTATCCCAGGTCTTTTCAGATAACATCAGGATACATTATCAGATAAGTTTAGCTCCTACAGAGAACCACCCAATGTTATCATGAAAATTGGCCTTTACATTCCTCTATATTAAAGTCTATGGTGAATCCTATACCCATGACTAAGAAACTTATTTCTTTCTCCCAGATGTGTGGTTCCTCTGCACTCCCTCAACCTGTAATGCATAAATGGGAATCCATCACAGGACATCGTCTTTTGGAACGATATGGCATGACAGAGGTAAGTGATATTTAGTTTAAATTACTTTGAACTAGTATTCTCACTTTATGAAGAGAGTGCATGTATCCAAATAATGAAGTTTCTTATCATATATATGGTTTTTGATGTTTTTAGTTTGTCATGGCAATATCAAACCCCTTAAGAGGTGAGCGGAAGGCAGGCACGGTTGGAAAACCATTTCCAGGTGTGGAGGTAAGTGGGCTGGTTATGAAATACACTTATGGCAGCAATTTTACCATAAGAAACTTATGAAGGAAGCTTTTCGCATGCAGATTTTAATAATTAGCCCTGGTGCTGAAGGGAACCACTTAAAATAGCAAAATCTTAAGACATTTAGTGCATGCTTGTTTTAGATGCTCATTGACAAAGACTATATCCTGGTCCTTGAAACAGCTTATAATTTGTAGAGTTACAAAGCTGGTGTACTTTACTGGTGATGTGTCTCATAATTGACATGGGAGTGTTTTTCTCAATAAAAGTAACTACAAATTAGTATCTATATATGTATGTTTATAAGATCTGTATTTGTTATAGGTAAGGATTGTTGCAGAAGATGACAGTGGAAGTGATAGTATAGGTGTGGGTGAGCTTTGTGTCAGAAGCCCTTCAGTATTCAAGGAATATTGGAAACTTCCTGAGGTAATTTCTGATTTCAGAAATTTGATGCTACCTGCGATAACAAACCACACATACACACGCACACACCTGCATTTATGTTTGTGAGATGTGCTTTTCTTTTAATTGAAGAATGGAACATGGAGTAATGAAATTCTACATTTTACATATATGGCATAATGAAATTCTGAAGAATATCAACAAATTTCTCTTACGAAATTGTGGTCATTGTCTAGGTAACCAAGGAATCATTTACAAGTGATGGGTTCTTCAGAACTGGAGATGCTGGTACAGTGGACGAGGATGGGTACTACATCATATTGGGACGTAAGGATACCTTGAACTCATGTGCATGATACTCTTATTGATGCATTCCTTCAATTTTGTTTTTTCACCAGTCTCAGATTTTGATGCTTCTGGTTAGCAATGCAGATACTTAAAGGACGTCTAACTGAGAATGAATTCTTCTTTCTTCTTCCGTATTTTTTGATGACATGTATCAGGTACTAGTGCTGATATTATGAAGGTTGGTGGATACAAGTTATCTGCATTAGAAATCGAATCAGTTCTTTTACAGGTGGATTTTTGACCTCTATTCCAGTTTTCTTATGGATACGCTATGATTTTGTTCTTCTTTTTCTTTGTAGGTCTATCATTATAAAGAAAAATGAAAAATTGAAGTGCTCAATGAACGATTGAATTTTTCTAACTAAAATCACCCCTTTTATGTAGCACCCGGCTGTGGAGGAGTGTTGTGTGTTGGGCTTGCCAGACGAAAACTATGGAGAAATTGTTTGTGCAATAATTGTGCCAGAGGTTGAAGCGAAAAGGAAACAAAAGGAAGAACTGAGACCTGCTATAAGCTTGGAGGATCTATCTGCTTGGGCAAAAGACAAACTTGCACCATACAAGGTATTACTGACCATCATTCACTTTTTTTTCTCTTCCTTTGGAGTTTTTATGATCAGTCCTCTTCAGTTATCAAGTAATAAACATTCTGTTCTCATGAATAATAACTTCCAAATCCTCGTCACATTTTTCAAACAACACAACTATATTCTCAAATGAGCACTACAAATAACTGCATTACATTTTTCCAGATACCGACACAACTGCTTCTGTGGGATTCACTACCTCGGAATGCGATGGGAAAGGCAAGTTACTTTTACATTTCCTTATTTGCTAAGCTACAGAAGCATTGTTTATTTCTTTGTATTTACATCGCATAAACTTGTAAGGTGTATTTACATTGCGCATCTGATTGCAGGTGAATAAAAAAGAGTTGAAGAAAACTCTGGCTTCTGATTCATAGACTTGATTGCAGAACAGAAAGAAAGGAATTAAGAAGCTATGGCACACACAACATGAAGTTTTGGAAACTAAAGTTCGAATTCATCATAGGAAGTATCCTTGTCATGCAGTCGTGGAACGTGACTCCTGAATGTCTGGTAGGGTAGTCTAGATAAAGTGAATATGATGCAGTGAGTTGAGGGAAATCAATTGTTGAAGCTCTTTGCAGCTAATCCACATTTTATTTTTCTGAATAAAGAACAAACTTAGAATCAGTATGTAAAGACGAAGTTCAAAATATATAATTGACCTCATCTCATTTAAAGCTAGATCCTTTGAATCAGCCTTCGAATTAGTTACAATGTTTAAACTTAAAGCTTGCATATTTTGGACTCTCCTTCTCTCCTTCTCTCTTTGGTTTCTGTTCTGAGCTTTGCCCCCATCTCACCCAAATCATAATAAGATACATCAATTTCCATGAGAATTGACAAAAGATTTGGGTTGCAAAACATTTTTCATATGACTAAGATATCGTTATTACCATTTTACCATGTTACCTATCCGGACATAGAAAACAATGTTTTTACCGCATTGATTGTACCTTGAACATTTTAAAGATTTGATTTCATAAATTTTGTATCGTCCTTCTCTTCTCCAAATTAACTTGATGAAGATAATATTTTCCCGCATTGATTGTACAATCACTACCATAAAGCCGTAAATAGGGCCACAAATGATATTAGACTAGTAATGATGACAAAAGTCAGAGTGTAACCGTGGCCAAAATGAATTGGCTTTTGGTCACGAATAAGTTATAAATTACGTCATTGTATTTCTTACTTAAAGCACTTAATAATACAAAAATAATTCATTTTTATTTCCCAGATCTGCATCATCTTCCCGTTACAAAAGGAATTGAATTGAAGATGAGATGACCATGACCATGTCATGTGTTAGATGGTAACAATAATTTGATAAACTAGTGTGGGGAGTCCACTTTCTATCTAAAAATTAATTTCATCATTCCCAAATTGGATTGGATTTTCTGTATGTTTTCGCTTTCTGTTTTACATTTAAAGTGAAACGACACCGTATAGATGGACGAAGATGAGGCTCTTTTGGTAAAATCAAGTTAAATTAACTTTTGCTGGCAGTTGAAGAAAGGTCGGCCGGCCTGAGATTTCAAATTCCTGTAAGACTCTGACTACTGAGCTTAATCTTTAGGAAGGAAGAAGAAGAAGAAGGAATACGGCGCCATTTTGGATCGAGTGGGGGCGAAGAGGAGCTTAGCAAAATGGTGAAGGGACTCCAACAACAAGGGCAAAACCTGCCACCGGATTTGACCCAAGTCATTGATCAGCTGGAGCGCCACTGCTTGGCACCCGATGGTTCTCTCGTCTCCAAATCAGCCTACTTCGACCTCCAACTCGTACTCTCTCTCTCTCTCTACATTTCCCTGCCTTGTTTGGTTGCTTAAAAAATGTGCTCTACAAACTATAAAATGCAATCTATGAATTATACAATCTGAGCATTTTCTTTACAATGCCTTTGATTTCTTAAAGTTATTTAATTCTGGTGCAGGCAAGGGAGGAAATGTCCAGAGAAAGATTGCGTTACTTGGAAGCAATGGTAGTTCTGCTTATTTTTTTGAGTTTGTGTTGATTGAACTAGTTGTTCTAATCTGGCAAGGATTTTGTAGTGTGTGTGTGTGAATGGTGGGTTTGGATTCTGGTGTAGGCAATTTATGGTGAGGCAATTGCAATGGTGGAAGAGTATCAACAAGCAGTTTCGGTGGCTAATCTTGGAGGAATTCGAGATGTTCAGGGTTTATATCTGCAATCGGACTTGAAGAATCCTCCTCAGGTTTCAATGTGCCACAATCATTGATTTTTGTTTTTGTTTTTGTTTTGAAGTTATTGATTTGGAAATTCATTTTACATCAAGTGTTGTCGAGTCATGATTTGGCATGAAATAGGACAGACATCCATATCTTTAATGTAAATAACTTGTAAGTTGGTGGGAAAGCACAGGGTGCCTGTGGTTTCCTGGTATGGGAGTTGAAGGATTCCCTTTTCCTTGTTACAATTGAAGTAGAAAACAATAGGAAAAAAAATGTTTTCCTTTGAGTTAATATGAAATGGCACCAGTTCAGAATTAGTATTCCCTCAAAGAGTGTTCATTTTTTATTTAACCATGATCTTAACAGAGATGCACTATGATAGGCTTGTATGTTAATTCATCTTCAAAAGACAACAGGCTAATTCAATCTTCATGGGATGCTCAAATGTACCATTAGTATTCTATTCTTCACATCAAGTCTAAAACGGATGAGAATGTGATTTTCATGTTTATATCAGTTGTACGAGACATTGGAGCATCGCATGATTGTTGCGGAAGCAGCTCAAAGATTGAGGCTTCCTCTTATCTCCAAAGATGGTGAAATTCATGAGGAAGAAATCGAAAAATGCAGTACGATGTCACACAGTTCCCTTGACAGTACCAGCACCAGCGTTACAATCAGCTCAAGTTCCAACTCAACCAATTTTAATATTGCTACTAGCACCAGTAGTGCAGCAAACAACAATCTTTCTCTTAGTGCTACTGATGCTGTGGAATCTGGAGTTGGTGGTGTTCCGAATCGCTTTCTTGGAATTACACCTGCATATTTATGGCAAACACAGCTCCAGCAAACACCATTGGCAATGGTATAATGTCCATTATGGTTCTGGCAACAGTTCTCTTTGTCTTTTATTTTCCATTTTATTTATTAATGTTTTTTTTCCACATTCAAACGTATGTTTTCTTTCTAGAATCTTTTACTTTGCTGTATATGATCCCTTAACATGAAGATCTAACTTTGGTGAAGCTGCTCCTTACATTTCTGATGCTTCAACTGCAGGACATGACAGAATATCAGTTGTATCTTTCTCGGGAGATTGAAGTCCGTTTAGTAGCTAAATGTGATAAATTAGCTGATGCCTTTATAATGGATGACAATGGTATCTCTCTCTCTCTCTCTCTCTCCCCCCATTCATATACACTAGACATGCACTTTTAAAGCTGATGATGCAATATGTACATGACATATGTTTACCCATGCATAATGATAATTATTAAAAATGTAACTAATTCCAATGCTTTTTTATGCAGACTCATCATCTGGGCATCAGAATTCAAGTTCTTGCCTTCCAGAAAGGTTTGAGTTACTCTTTTGATGCAATTTTCATTGTATGATAATTCCCTTTTACATTGAGTAAGATGCTTTTTATGGATGGTTGGCAATCTTATTTCCAATGCTTTTGGCAATCAATAAATTTCTGGAGGCACTGTTCTAAATATTTTTCTAACAGTCTGATCTATTTTTGTGACACTTTTCTCATGACTTTATCAGGGTGAAGTTGATAATTGAGGAGATGGAAAGGGAGGAAACAGCTCTGCAGGAAGATCTATATTCTGCGGATAGAAAATTTGCTGAATATTATAATGTATGAAAATGAAAACAAAAATAAAACAAAGTTTTATGCTCCTGCAATTTCATGCCAGGCGCATTTTGTTTGTGAAGATTTTTTTTTTTTATGCCTTGGTTTTTTTTTTTTTTGGTTGCAAAACCTAGGTCCTAGAGCAGATACTGGGAGTGCTCATCAAACTGGTCAGAGATTTGAAGTTGCAACATCAACATAAATATGTAAGCTTCTAATATCTGGGAGGGTTAATATTTTTTCAATGTTGTTGAGGGTTAATATGAGGGAGGCTCAAAGCTTCTATATTATTCTGTTTTAAATGTTGTTGAGGATTCTTGAACCTTTTATTAATAATGAATGATTTATAGGACGGACTGCAAAAAACATGGCTTTGCAAGAGGTGTGAGACGATGAGTGCAAAATTGAGGTCTGTTACATGGTTTTCTGTATTATAAATTTATAATTTTGTATTTCTGGCGTCAATGTTGCTTAATGTCTTACTTTCCATATGTTTATGAATTTTTTGTTTGTGATGCATCTTGTGCAAGAAGACAAAGTTCACCACTCACCACTGACTGTATTTTTTTTTTTTCATGTTTTGTGATCAAATCAATTTATGGATTGTATGTAATGAGTATAATATGCCCCATTGTATTTCAGGGTTCTGGAGCATGTTCTCCTTCTTGAAACTTATACTAAGGAGTCAATACCGGCCCTACATAAAATAAGGTAGCTTTGATGACATTGAAAGTATGTGCAGCTTACTGATTCCAGGGTTTTAACAATTTTATAACTCATTTCTAGGAAGTATCTCCTTGAAGCTACAGATGAAGCTTCAATCGCATATAATAAAGCGGTATGATATTCTACTTCTTATTTTTCTTCCCTTTCCTAAGTGGTTTCTGATCATTGGTTGCCTTCATTTGCGTGTGCCCCAAAACAGACATTTTAACCACATCATACTGTAGGCTTGTAATAATATATTTTGTTTGGGCATTACTTTTAGGTTGATTTGCAATGTTTTCCTGTCTATTTGCCTTGGTTTCCTGTAAGTCATTATTGTTTTAAATCCTAATCTGCTATCCGTCAAATTGTAAATTGCTTCAAACTTATTTGGGTTTTCTTAAGGAATTTTGATGAGATAAGGAAGTTTCTCAATCTGCTTTTATTGCTTTATCACTTGTTACTGGTTATTTGTCATTGTAGATATTGTGAAGATGGGTTGTAAATACTTAATGGTCTGCACTATAATCAATGGGCCCATTTACAAAGCTGATGATAATTATAGAAAATGCTTCAGCTGCTAATAAATAGTTAAGATATGCTGATCCAATTTTACTTTGACAACATGCATACAACTTAACCATGTCACCCTTCTGCATCTCTCCTGCTGGTTTTCTTTATTTACAAAAGTCATCTTTTCTTAACAGGTTACACGTCTTAGAGAATATCAGGGTGTTGATCCTCACTTTGATTCAATTGCAAGGCAGTACCATGATATTGTAAAGGTAATAACAATGCTTACCGTAGTACATTTCCCAGTTCTCATGCTAATCTCTAATATCAACATCCCCTTACAGAAATTGGAAAATATGCAATGGACAATCGACCAAATTGAAATGGACCTGACACACCCAGATCACGTAAATGCATAGAACCTGCTGTATCTTGTTTGATCTTGTTTTCTGAGTCCAAGCCTCCAATTGCTTCATCACTGGCCTGTTGAATGTTTCCTTAGGGAAATGAAAAACGCCTTCTAAATAGTATCATCATGCTTATGACTTTCTTCTATGTTTGACATTTGTGCTTATAGTTATAAGCTAGATTGGTCATAGATAGACAGCTGATTTTTGAAATGTTGTGTATAATTATATCCTTACAAGGAGGATACTCTGTAAATTATAGGCATCTTGCCACGTTTTGTGACCTCAGAAGCAATTTTAGTTTTGTGACATGTGTAAGATTACTACTCTACCTTAATTTGTTAGTTGGTGCAACAAGGTCCAAGTCCTTTTTGTGGTGGTATAAACTTTCTGAGCTCAAAGGTGGGAGAGGAAGTTTTCTGTTTTTATAGACAACCACGCCGACTTGTACCAACCCAATGAACAAGCTCTTGTTAGGGTTTGTGCTTGATGTACATGGAAAGTGTAAGGAAAAAGAAGATGGTAGATAGGAACATGAGAGCCACCCAGACTCCGAAACCGACTTTCCATCCCAGATGATTTTGAATGTATACTATACTAACGTTAGTTTGATCAGTGTTTGTAGGTATATATATCATATGATTAATGGAGTCATGTTTGGTATTCAAGGGTGAATATATAATGGCATACAAAACCCCCAAATATGGAAAATAATTAATGATGTAAACAAGAACAACAAAACAATGATATTGATATGGTTTGGCAAAATCAAAGCATACATACATATATATATATATATATATATATATATAGAGAGAGAGAGAGAGAGAGAGAGAGAGAGAGAGATCACAATTTCAACTGTTGTATTAACTCATCATGGTACAATTCTCTTCACAATAGTTTAGGCTAATACAGCCATACGTATCTTTCTATTTATGAGTCTTTTACCTTCATGTGGATTGTTTGTAGTGATCATTTATGCTGCTCTATTTAGCTTTTTAATTAGCAGAAGAAATTTCTATTAAAAAATAATTAATAATTAAAATAAAAGCAGAAGAAAATTCAATTTTCATTATTTTTCTTGTCAAATTAAATATTAAATTTCATATGCACGTTATTCTTCTTGTCCTAGACCTACTGGTATTCTTTTATTTTCTTCTTTTTCTGACCCCAACTAGCAATAAGTTTAGCAGTAATTTTAGCTACAATTATGATCAGTCCCATGCTAGATAGAAAGGCATGCGCTTTACAGAATCACTCAAATGAGAACCATGAAAAGACATTTGGGGTGTAGTCTTGTGTAAAGAGTATAGCCGGTCGGCTATACTATTTAGTAAAAATATTTTAATAAAGTCCCCCGTAAAGCCGAGCGGCTATACTCGTTTTATAAAAAAAATCCTGCGTATAGCCGAACGGCTATTCTTGTTTTATAAAAAAATCGTCGTATAGCCGAACGGCTATAGTATTATCGACACGTGGCGAAATGGGAGCTAGACGTCAGGCGGGCAGTTAGTATAGCCGCGCGGCTATACCAATTTTAAATAAAAATAGCCGAGCGGCTATAGAATTATCGACACGTGGCGAAATGGGTGCTAGACGTCAGGCGGGCGGTTAGTATAGCCGCGCGGCTATACCAATTTTAAATAAAAATAGCCGAGCGGCTATACTATTTATAGAAGTAAAAAAAGGCCATCTAGCTCCCATTTCACCACGTGTAAATAGTAATCCAGCCACGCGACGATACTCTTTTTTTTATTAAAGAAAGGGTAATTACGTTTTTGGTTACTGGATTAGGTCCGAATTTAAATTTATTCACCATAATTTTAATTTTTTTCGAATTTCATTAGTTGCAGTGGTTAACAAATCAAGTCAAATTCATTATTTCCGTCAGTAAGTCTAAATAAATAATAATAATAATAATAAAATGAGAAGAGGAAAAAAAAAAAACCAGCATTCATCCAAGAAAAAAAAACCCGGTTACCTACACCGTCATCACCCTAATACTAATCCCATCTCCTCTCTCTCCAATCCGACGGTCGTAAAGAAATGGATGTAGAGGTGGTCGGTCGCCACACGCTGTTCTTCGACGACAACGCCAACGCCTGTTTCGTGTTCTTTGACTCAATCTGAGATTCCCATTCCAATGGAATTCGATAAAACCTAGAATTTGATGCGAACTTAGATGATGTCCAGTAGATAGAAGCATTATTACATGAACTTTTTTCTGAATATTTGGGTTTTGAATTTTGTAACAATAGGAATTAATTTTGATTTCGTTTCTCTTTGAATTTGGGTGGGTTGAGAAGTCTTTTGAATTTTGTGACTGGGCCGCTGTGGTGGTGGTTGGCTTTGCTGTCACCGACAAAAGAACAGGAACAAAAACGCAGTCCCAAAAAAAATTACTTTTTTTTTTATAATTTATTTTTTAAACTTGATTTGTTAACCACTGCAACTACAGTTGAAAATTAAAATTTTGGTGATCAAATTTAAATTCGGACCTAACCTCAGTGACCAAAAATGTAATTAGTGGTATTTAAAAAAAAATCCCGAATATAGCCGTTCGGCTATACTATTTATAATAAAAAAAGATCACATGCATGGCTCTAGCCCTCGTTTTGCCGCGTGACAAAAATAGCCGTGCGGCTATACTATTTTTAAATAAAAACCGTAGTATAGCCGTGCGGCGTTACTCTTTTTTTGTTCATCATGAGTACAGCCGACCGGCTATACTATTTACGTAAAAAAAAATTTGTGACCCTTTTAGTTGTATTAGTTTATACTTTCTAAATATTAATATGCTAGTTTCGACATCTCTAAAGTAGATATTGAAGATAGAGAAATTTCATAGTAAATAAATTTGAGAGTTCAAATTTTTCTTCTTCGTTTTTGGTGGGAATGTTTGCCTTTGGTCTACCTCGTTCTCTCGAGTGCTACTAAATTCTATTACTACACATATTATTTGTTGTAGAGAATTGCGTGTGAGTTAGAGTGTTCTTGGTAATTGCTTCACATTTCAAACAACACTTTACATGAATAATACTACCACCTCGCTTACTACTATACCCATAAATCTTTGTTTGAAATTGTTGTTCCGTTTGGCAAAGAGTTTGCAAAATCACCATCTTGCATTTTTGTTATAAGAAGTAAGAAATAATCTTAGCCTCTCACATTCTTTTAGTTAGTAAAATATGGAACGGGAAAAATATGAATAACATATGTACGTGTTTTATTCGGCAATATTTTGGCAAATTACAACTGATAAGTTCGACCACTATATAATATTTTAATATGATTTATTTAAATTTTTTAATATATTTTTTTATTCATTAATATGCGAAAATTATGTGTATAATACCTGAATTTTGTATGTAAGACCATGAGAACTGTAATTTTGCAATCAAAGAAGTTAAGCATCGTCATCAAGCAAGCACCCTTAAGGAATAAACTCACTTGTCGGCTATACTATTTATAAAAGAAGAGCCTAGTAAAGCAACGCAGCTATACTCTTTTAATAAATAAAATAAAATAAAAAAAGTTTCAATGAGACCAGTGAAAGTGTACTATGTAGTACAATGAAGATAGAGATAGGGTTTATTTATTTATTTTGGCTAGGCAGATAGAGATAGGATTTCAACATTTTTTTTTTTGGGCTGAGATAAACATATTATCTTTTTGGAAAATATTGGGTTGGGCATCAGCACACCTTGCCCTGTGGGTAGAATCTCCTCTGGCGGGTTGGAGGTAGCTCAAGGTCAAAATCTCTTCTTCCATTATATGATGGGAAAACTAGAAGCTATTATCTTCAAGCTAGAAGCTATTACCGTAAGTTTAGTTTCGTTTTAACACGCTAAAAGTCCAATTATACCCTTACAATAAAATTAACATAACAAAAAAATGAAACAAAACCTTGCACCTCCTGCCACCGGTGTTATCGCACTGCCACTCCACCGATCAATTAACTTTGATGTGCTTCTAGACAAGCTTTGCCATCGATCGGGCTTCGCCTCTATCTTTAGCCTTTGATAAGATTATATCGACACACCACATATTAGTAAAGCCGTCACACAATAATTTTTTGTTTAAGAATCTTTTTGTACCGGAAAAATGTGTCATATATAATCAACAAAATTATACAACTATAGAAGGACAAATTGGCCACACAAAAAAAGAGAAAGGACAAATTGGTATGGCCCATTAGTCAAACAAACAAGGTATAGGCCACAAACTGGAATAAGGGTAAGACCAGTATCTATTTTGGGCCACACAAATCCTGTCCGTCATATTTTAAACCTTAGGCCTTATGTCCGGCTTCAACTTGATATTAATCGGCCATTATACAATATTTTAATATAATTTTTATTCAATAATATATGAGAATTATTTGTATAATACGTGAACTTTATGTGTCTTAATGACAATTTTGTAAAAACGTATGTGTATTAAGCATTAGAAATACGTACGAACATGTACAATACGACTATTGTATGTTTGCTTTTTAAAAAAAGGAGATGAGTATAGAACACGAATGTATTATTGAAAACTATGTACACACATATATATATATATATATATATATTACGACTATTGTGGACAGATGTTGAAGCAAGCTCCTTGGGAATTTCTTGGGCACTTCTAGTTAATGTGTTGAATGGGCACTTCTTGGGCATGCGTTGAAAATTGCACAAAATAATTTAAAATAATTAATTAATATTTATTGAGCAATTTATGAAATAAGTAACATATTTAAATATTCACTAAAAATAATAATTAAAACACAACTACTAATTAAAGTAATTCAAAAAGGATAAGATATTACTTAATTACATACATTAAATTAAGGAAGTTGGCCAAAAGAAAAAGTAAAGAAACTAATTTTATACTTTTAAAATTAAAAATTAGAAAAAAAAAATACATGAATACTTCTCCCAACGAAATTTCGCCGGCATAGATCTATGCCAGCAAAATTTGCCGGATTAGGTTTCTCTCGACGAAAATACCTATGCAGTCGAAATTTCGTCGGGAAAGGTCTTATTTTTTCAAAATAAATATAAACTTAGGATGTTTAGGTTAATTTATTTTTAGTAAGGGAATTTAATTAGTTAAATTAGCAATTATATTTAATGAATAATTATGATTAAATAATTTAATTAACTTCATGAATTATATTACTTAATAAATAGTAATTCAAATTTTCTTTTTCTTTTTCTTTTTTCCTTTAATATTCACTAAGTAAATAATCACTAAAGGGTTTAGTTAATTACTAATCAAGGTAATTAAAAAAGTGAAATACATATTATGCTACTTAAAGGGTGTAGCCGACCTTTTTATATA